TGTCCTACATTATCTAAGCGTTTGTATGAGTTTAAGAGAACAGCTGTGGCTCAGCTGCCTGCTGCTGCTCTGAAGGAGACAGACTTGCTGCAGCTGCCTGCTTTGTCTCTCCCCCCCTGTCGTCTTACAAAGAAAAGACAGCAGCAGCAGCAGCAGGGACAGCAGCAGCAGCAGGGACAGCAGCAGCAGCACGGACAGCAGCAGCAGGGACAGCAGCAGCAGCAACAGATACAGGATGGTAAGGATTTAGATATATTCAGAATAAGGACAGGATGCTGCTGCTGCTGCTGCTGCTGCTGTTGCTGTAAACGCAGATGCTGCTGTTGCTGCTGCTGCTGCAGCAACAGCTGCTGCTGCTGCTGTAGCTGCTGCTGCTGCAGCAACAGCTGCTGCTGCTGCTGTAGCTGCTGCTGTTGCTGTAGCTGCTGCTGCTGCTGCTGTAGCTGCTGCTGTTGCTGTAGCTGCTGCTGCTGCTGCTGCTCTGATTGTCTTTTTTTTTGCTGCAGGGAAGGAGACACTGCCTCTCGGGGATGGAGAGCCAGGTTTGCTGCCACTGTACACAGCAGCAGCAGCAGCAGCAGCAGCAGCAACAGCAGCAGCAGCAGCAGCAGCAACCACAACAGCAGCAACAGCAACAACAGCAACAGCAAAGTGTTTATATCTCTCCTCTTGTGACTCCTCCGTTTGTTGTGTTGCTGCTTGCTGCTGTCTCCTGCTGCTGCCTATCCCCCGTCTCCTTCTGTCTCTCGCTGCTGCTGCTGTCTCCTTTTGTATTTTGTCTGCTTTTTTCTTTTGTCTCCTTTTTTCTTTTGTCTCCTTTTGTTGCTGTCTCTCTTACTGGCTTTGTTTGCTGCTGCTTGTGGGGCGTCTTCTGTATGCTGCAGCAGCAACAGCAGCAGCAGCAGCAACAGCAGCAGCAGCAGCAGCAGCAGCAGGAGAAGGCAGCGAAGCAGAGTGTCTTGCTGCTGCGGGGGGCAGCGAGGAGACAAAAGAAACAGCAGCAGAAAAAGGAGACAAAAAAAAGGAGACAGAAAGGAGACAGCTGCAGCTCGCCGGTGGTAGTGATGCTCTCTGTAACGAAGTCAGTTGTCTCCTCTTTTTTTTTTTTTTTTTTTTTTTTTTTTTTTTTTTTTTTTTTTTTTTTT